GTTTGCAAAATATTTTTTCCTCATTGCTTTTCTCACCTCCTTGTATCCAGCAGCCCCTATTTTGATTGGGGGGAGGGGGGGAATGACATTTTACACATAACTGTGTACTCTTTGTCATTTTAAAGAGTTTGGCCTCAAGACTGGAGCTGGCTGATACTCCCACTAAATTTATTCTGAAAAGAACTGGGTACTGAAAATAATATTTAAAAAAAACAAAACAAACAACAACAAAAAAAACCCAAACTGCAATTTGGTGAATCAGTGTATTTCCTTTCTATTATAATCCTATTATTCTAAAATATAGCATTAGTCTCCATTTGTATGAAAAGCACTGAGTTTATAAATTTCCCTACATCATTAAAAATAAATTATTCAGCGGATTTCCATGAAGCAAAAAAAATGTTCTACTTGCTGAACCTTGGTTGAATGCATTAATAAAATTATATAACCAAAGGCCTCGAGTGACATCCTGTACTTCGTCTCTATTAGCAACATAAATACTTTGGTAAAACCAACACTGATGCTATCTGGGCTTTGCTGCACACACACAGCGCCCTGTGTGGAGACTCTCACTGGAGGAGGATGGGGGGACAAAGTGCAGCCAGGGTCTGGAGGGGCCCGGGGGCTCAGAAGCCAGCTGAGCTGAACACATCCACCTGCATTTTGGAAGCATCCTACTTAGCGCCCGCACAGAAGATGGAAATGACTCTGTTTAGGGAAACACAGAAGACCGGTTAAGCACTTTGGGGATATTAAACGTGAATATCTAATCTGTTTTCTCCAACGTATCACTCTGTATGATGACAAGTAAACAAGCCAAGGCCCTATGAGGTGTGGGACAGCATCAGCCAGAAAAGGCTGGGAAAACGAATTGCGTCAATGACAACCGCGGTGGAAAATTACATTCCCTCCTCTGGAACAGATGTTAAGTGCATCCTTACTAATAAAGACTTAGACTCAAACTGCATTAGAATATAGCCGTTTTCAATTCGGAAGCCTCTAAGTTAATTTGCCAAGCTGAATTGGTGGTTAGGTTTACGCCGGCAATAAAAAGACTGCAGATTTGTGTAGAAATAAGTCCTAAGAATCACACACATCAGAAGAGTGATGAAAGCCAACCAGGATCATTATTGAATAAGGACAAAATAATTGCAAGATGTTACATCTTCCTTAGAGTTGCATCAATTGCTATTCTATTAGGAATGATTCTAACCTAGGAGACAGCTACTGATCACACACAAAAAAGATGTTTAAAATGCAAAAGTCAACCCGATGTAGAAAGTGAAGGGAAATATACAAAGCCATCCAGACATTACCGCACAAAACAGGCTGTGCTATGTCAGAGTTAAAGCATGACCTCCCCCCAAAATATAATACTGTCTTCATAACCTATAATTCACTCAGAATTAAATGACTTCATTTACTTGAATGCTACCGTCTAGAGGACATTTAAATTTTTCTTAAGATCCCTACGATGTAAACATACATTAGTGATTGTTTGTGTTGTTAGTTAAAATGAATGGTAAGTAATGAGTTCATATTCCTGTTCCATTTCTTTTAACTCGGCATATCCAACTTTAAAATAACATGGAAAAGCGCTCACAGAGGCAGCTCTTAGCTGCCAGAAAAAGAAATTCTGATAGGGGAGGTGTGGGCTCAATGAAAGCAATTATCTTCAAAAAAATGGATGCTCCTATTGGAATTTCAGCAAACAAATCTAAATAAGTCTTTCTTTGATTTCAGTGTACCGTGTAATTCTAGCCAGCTAATTGCCCCTGGAGTCAGCAACGAGCTGTGACTCTACACCTGGCTTCTCGGATCATACACGCCGAGGGCCTCCCTCCTCCACTTTCATTTCCTCTCTCTACGGTGAGTTTGAATATTAAAGAAAAACACTCACACGTCTTATATACACAATGATGGACAGCCGGCTTCCTGGAAATCGTGATCTACAAAGAGAGGGGGAAATCTTAATGCAATACTTATGTGGAAGGGTATTAGGTGCCGGGTAAGCCAAGGGTAATATGATCAACAGCATCCGTCTTGGCTATTGTTTTTTGCATTCAGAGATTTGAAGTTGAGGACGGTTAATATTAATTGACTGGTCACCCAGGTTATGATTCGGATCCGTAAACTATTAGGAGCCTACATGCACTCTCTTCGATTGCTCACCAATTCAAATTTATAAGAACAATGTTTTGGGAAAAAATAAAACAGGTCTTTTTTTTTCTATTTCTGGAAATAAAAATAAGGCATTCCATAAGCAATGTACCTAGCTGCCTGATGATATGAAAACAGTAATTGTTTTAGATCAATGAAGCATTCCGGGAGAATGTTTTCCAAATAAGCAAGTGGCATAAATGTCTCATCTAGTTACCTTTTTATTTCTGTTTCTGCACCTCCAGCATGCCTTCCTCTGCAGATTTATTCCCAACACTCATAAGCATTTGCTTAATAGAGTGCTCTGTGCCTTTCTTTCTAAATTAGCAACCATCATTCCACCAAGATAGAGCACAAAGAACGCGACAAAGGCTCTGCCAAAAAGCCACAAGTCCTGCGAGTACGTGCCAGAACACTTAACATGAAACGATCGTTTCTCTCTCTCAAACTTCCACTGCCAAAGTGCTCGCACAATCTGGAAGCTCCGAGACAGGTTTCAAGCGCAATTAAATTCTCCCAGAGCAAAAAACTGTACCAAAAAAAAAAAAAAAAAAAAAAAAAAGATACATGCCGCCCTTCTTATGTCACCATTTTAGGCAACATTTTCTCAGGATCTTAATTAAGATAACCACGCACACCTGTGTCAACATTCTCCCGGCAGGACAGCCTTATCAATCATAATCCTTTAAGTACACTCCAAAAACAGCCCAGTGATACGACAGAAGCAATCTGCTGCCTCTCCTCCTGTGGGTGCCGCGTGTCTCCCACAAGAAGGATGAGACCTTCACAGGAAGGCAGACCTGCTTTTACGAGTCTTTAAAGTTTTCACTGTAAACACCGATTACGCTCCATAAACAGGAATAACCTCTTTTGCACTTGATTTACACAATGACAGCTCTGCAGCCAGAAACTGGAAGAGCCAGCTCAGCCGGGCGGCCCCAGTCTTCCCAGGGCAACTGTGTGGGTCCGACTGCCAACGCTTTCAGTGCCAAGGGTTGGGCAGAACTGGGACCCGTGCAGACGCGACACCCCCCGAGAAACCCCTCGGATAGCTTTACTTAATGAGGACATGTGAAGTCCGACAGGAAGGACCGTGAGGACAGACCTATCCCCTGGTCCAAGTGAGAATGTTCAGAAGAAGATAAAATGCAAAAGCAAGTCCACCTCCCAACCGTCCCCCCTATTCCCCCCCAAAAAGGGGAATGGGTTGCCTTGGTAACCTGAAATAAGGGGCAGAAAGCTTCAGGAGCATCAGCCCAGGGACAAGACTGCTAACAAGTCATCTGCTCCCAAATGGAAAACAAACAAACAAACAAACCAACCCAATGAATAAAAAAGGGGGGAAACGGGAAGGAAGGGGGGGAGGAAAGAAGGAGAGGAGGAGGAGGAGGAGGAGAGGGAGGTCACCACCACCAAGATAAAAAGTTTAAAACCTCGCTTTTTTTTTTTTTTTTTTTTTACCGGTCCAAACCTGAACGCTTTCACGGGAAAACAGAAAAAACCCGCTGCCCCTGGCCACTGGAGTCCCGCCTGCTAATGAATGACCTGATTTCCCCCCTCCCTTTGCGGTGTGAGCACAGGTCTGTGTGCGCGGCCAGCGCGCCCGGCCATCCCGGCGCAAAGGAAGCAGCAAATAGAGACGTCTGCCCTTCAGCAGGAGCCTCAGATGGACCCGGAGGGAGGTGACAGGCGCAGCAGCAGAGCCACACCTTCCAAAGGGCCCCCCATCTCTCCGATCCTCTCTCCGGCCACAGGAGAGAAGGCGGTGGAGGAAGGAAGAGCGGGGGACGCGGCGGGGGTGGAGGTGGGGATGGGGGGCGGCCCGGGGGTGAGGATGGTGGGATGGGGGTGTCTGCGGGGCAGGGCTCGGATGCTCGGGTGGCACACACCTCCGGGGGCCCCATTTCGGAAATCAGCGACCTGGTCCCCAGCCCAGAGGGTGAAGCTGCCGCGCGCGCGTGGACAGAGGGGGACACACACGCGCGCGCGCGCCCCCGCGCCCGGGGTCCGGGGCACCTGGGGAGGCCCTGCCCACGGGTCTGTCCGGTTCACGAGGGGACGCGGACGCGGACGCGGCGGCTGGAGATGCGGGAAAGCCGGGAGGAGCGACAAGGCCGGGGGCCGGCCGGTGGGACCGGGGCGCAGGGCTCACCTCAGAGTCTCGTCGCGGGAGCGCGGGCCGCGGACGCTCCCTCGTGGCCGCCGGGAGCCCCCGGCGGGCGGCGCGCGCGGGCCGCTAGGCAGGGCCGCTCCCGACCGTTAGCACCGCGAGGGGCTGAGCTGGCGGCGGGCGGAGCCGGGGGCGGGGGCGGGGCGCTGCGCGGCGGCGGGGCCGCGAGAGGCGGGAGCAGCGAAGGGAACGGGGCGGGGACGCTGCGAGCACCCCGGCCCCGCCGCGCCCAGGAGGACCCCCGCGCCTTGGCTGCCCGGCGGCCGCCGCTGGCCGGGCCCGCGCTCCCTTCCCGTCCGGCGGTCCGGCCGGCCGCGCGGCCTCGCTCGGCCCCGGCTGGCTCGCGGCCACCTCTGCGCCGCGGGCCGGGCCGCCGCCGCCGCTGCCACCGGCTTCCCGTCTCCATGACAATAGCGCGCCGACGCCCCGCCCCCCGGCGCCCTGACTCGCAGGGAGGCGGGCCCAGGACCTTGGGGGGGCGGAGTCAATGCGGGCCGGCGTCCAATCAGAGGTGACGGCAGGGAGAGGCGGGGCCGCGGGGATCGCTGGGGTCCCGAGAATAGCCGCTGGAGGGGCGGAGCCTGGGAAGCCGGCGGAGGGGGAGGAGTCGGAGTCGGCGCGCGTGCGCGTTGTCGCGCAACCAGCTCCAGTGCCAGGGGCCGGCGGAGCCCAAGATCTGTTTCTCGCCCGTCCAAGTCATCACGGGACACTGTGTGTGTCTAGTCGTGCTTCGGCTTGCGTGTGACCCCATTAATAAAAGCGCACAAATCCCCCGATAGACTGAGCGCCAGCGGAGTGCCCACCCGTGCGCCCTCCCCTGTCCTGGTTCGCCAGCGCCCCTGTCTGCCCCTGAGACCCAGCGCGTCCGCGGCTCGTGGCGGCGGCGCGGGGCGGAGGAGAGACCTGCGGCGTGTGTTCTGCACTCGGGCTGCGTGGCCGGCCGTGGTGGGCCGGGGCTCACTCTGTCTGTGACTCAGTGGTGTGTGTTTGCCTGGCCAGCGCCTCGCTGAGCAAACAGGGGTTGGGTTGGGCACTGCGCTCTGTGGAGTGTTTACAGTGGCGCTTGGGCGGGGGTGAGGGTGCCAGTGCATTCGGAGGGGAAAGGGGACCCCTCATCCTCCACCACCACCACACCACCGGCCTCCTCGGCAGGCAGGGCGAACTGCAAGGGGGGTGGGGGGGGAGGAGTGTCCAGATCGAAACAGCGAGGCTCCCAACAGATAGGGGAGGAGGAGAGGAGGGGTCCGGAGACCTGCTCTTGCTCACTGCCTACCCCCCCCCTCCCACACACACACCCTCGTTCCAGGCCCCACAGTGTCTTCTCCCTCGAAGCCTGTCAGGGAGCTGGTGGAAGCAAAAGCGGGTCGACTCGGTGCAGATGCCCAAGGCTCGGCTCTGGCCCACCTGCTGCTGCTGCTGCTGCAGCCAAAGGACAGTCTCCCCCCGGACTCTCTCTGCCCCGACGGGGGCACTCGTGGCACTCACTCTCCCAGGGACCTTCATTCCGAAACTCCAGCTCGTCCTCGGGCCCCTGCCTTGTGGGAGAAAGAAGCCAGGGGAGGCGGCGGGACGGCGATCCAAGAAATCCGCTAACTCCGGGAGGGAGAGAGCCAGCACGCCGCCGCTGCGCCCTCGCCCTCCTCCGCCTGGGTCCCTTTGTACTTTGGGGCGGCCAGGCCCGCCACCGGGGTCCGCGGGGCTTCTTCGGCTTCGCCTCGGCGCCCGGACTCGGCCGAAGAGGAAAGTTGGGAGAGATGGGCGGCGCGCCTGGGATGTGATTGTCATCCTGGGGCTGGCGCTCGAGAGTCTGAGAGCGAGCGAGGCGGGGTGGGGGTGAGGGCGGAGGAGGGGAGGGGAGGGGGCAGAGAGACCAGGGAAGGGAGGGAGGGAGGGAGGGGGAGACCGAGAGGAGGGCGGAGAGGCGGGCGGGAGGGAGGGGCGAGGGGGCGCGCCAACGAGCGAGAGAGGGAGCCGGGGAGGAGGCAGAGGGCGAGGGCGAGGCGCGCCCGGCGGCCGGGTTGGCTGCGGCCGCCCAGAGGCTCCTGCCAGTCCAACCGCCGGCTACACCCCGGGAAGGAGGAGCTTCGGGGCGCGCACAAGGCGTCAGGATCCTCAATTTCCAACTTAGCATCTTGGCAGGACCTTCGCGGAGCCAAAAGCGGAGCCCCCCGGTGCAAAGAGAGGGAGAGAGGAGGGGGTAAAAAAAAAAGAGAGAGAGAGAGAGGGGGAGGGAGAGGGAGAGAAAGCAGCAAGGGAGGGGGCGAAGCCCAGCCGGGGCGCAGAGAGGCGCGCACGGGAGCGGGCTCGGCGGCCGCAGTCGGAGGCGCGCGGGAAGCCACCGAGGAGGAGGAGGAGGAGGAGGAGGAGGCGCCGAGAACCGGCGCTCGGAAGCCAGCGGGGCCGGAGGAGCGGAGCGGCGGCCCGGCAGGGGCGGCCAGCCAGCCGGAGGCCAGGCGCCCGCCCGCCCGCTCGCCCTCGCAGGGCGCCGCCGGCTCGTTGGCGGCCGCGGCGCGGCGCGCCCCATGCCCGCGCGTGGCCATGTCCTACCCGCAGGGCTACTTGTACCAGCCGTCCGCCTCGCTGGCGCTCTACTCGTGCCCCGCGTACAGCGCCGGCGTCCTGTCGGGGCCCCGCACGGATGAGCTGGGCCGCTCGTCGTCGGGCTCCGCGTTCTCGCCCTACGCCGGCTCCACGGCGTTCTCGGCGCCCTCGCCGGGCTACAGCTCGCACCTCCAGTACGGCGCCGCCGACCCCGCCGCGGCCGCCGCCGCCGCCTTCTCCTCCTACGTGGTGAGTGAGCCGCCGGGGCCGGGCGGGCGGGCGGGCGAGGGCCGCCGGGGCCGGGCGGCGGGGGCTGCGGGGACCCAGGGCTCGGCGCCCCCCGCCCAGCCTCCGCGCCGCCCCGGCCAAACTTGGGCGATTGTCTCCCTGGGCTCGCGCGGGCCTCGGGCTCCCGGAGTCGCCGCTGGGAGCGGAGAGCCCCGGGTCTCGCTCGCTCGGACCGCCTCGCTGGCCCAAAGCGTTTGGGGAGGAGGAGAGAGGTCGCTGGCCACGAAAAAGAGCAGCCGTGGGTACACACGGGAGCTCCGGGCCGCCCTGCCATGTGCATTTTTTTTTAATTTATTTTTTTTTAAGTTTTGCAATTTTGGGAAAAACTAGATCCAGAGAGAAAAATAGACCCGGCATCGGAACGGAAAGCATGCTAAGTGCATGTAAATGTGTCTGGCTTCGCCTCTCATTAGTCCTCCTCCGAAATGTGGCAAATCCGTAATCCCATCTCCGCAATCCGATTGGGACGCGTTAGGTTTCTGAGGAGCCGGCGGCCGCGCGCTGCGGTGCACCCGGGATTTCTGGGCCGGCCCGGGGCGCTTCCCGGAGAGCCCGCCGCTCCGGTTCGGGGGCCGTGTTTTTGGGGAGGTGGGGGAGCGGAGTGCCTGCCTCGCCAGCCTCCGCTTTTCGATCGCCTTTTTGGGGGAGAGGAAAATAAATGCTTTTCCTTCCCCCGCTCTCCCGCCCGGCGCCTTCGCAGTGCAGCCACCCGGGCTGGAGGCGGAGAGTGGCCGCCGCCGCCGGACCGCTCTGGGCGGAGGCCTGGCCGCGGGGGTCGGATCCGCTCACCGGGGACCAACGGGGTCGGCCCCCGGGGCCCTGCAGGGTTCGGGCCGAGGCCCCGGTGGCTTCAGACGCCCACTAGGAACCGGCGGGCTCCGGAGTTGGCGCTCCCGCTGGGCTCCGAGGAGGGGGAAGGGGTGCGCCCTGAGCTCCGTGCCCACCGGCGGCGGAAGCCAGAGTTTGGGCCCCGGCCGCCACCCGCAGACCCCGGGGCGCGGGGGGACAGTGTGCTTGGGTCCCCCAGGTGGCATTGAGGACCCTGGCCCCCCTCTCACCTCCTCTCCCTTGCCTGTTCCCTCGCAGGGCTCTCCCTACGACCACGCGCCGGGCATGGCGGGCTCCTTGGGGTACCACCCCTACGCCGCGCCCCTGGGCTCCTACCCGTACGGGGACCCCGCGTACCGCAAGAACGCCACGCGGGACGCCACGGCCACGCTCAAGGCCTGGCTCAACGAGCACCGCAAGAACCCCTACCCCACCAAGGGCGAGAAGATCATGCTGGCCATCATCACCAAGATGACGCTCACCCAGGTGTCCACCTGGTTCGCCAACGCGCGCCGGCGCCTCAAGAAGGAGAACAAGATGACGTGGACGCCGCGGAACCGGAGCGAGGACGAGGAGGAGGAGGAGAACATCGACCTGGAGAAGAACGACGAGGACGAGCCGCAGAAGCCCGAGGACCGGGGCGACCCCGCGGGCCCCGACGCAGGTGGGTGAGCTCAAGGGGCGCGTGGAGCCAGAGGAACCGCATGGAAAAGGCGCAAGGTGGGGGGTGGGGGTGGAGAAGGGGCTCCCAGGGCCCGGGGGTTGGGTTGGATCTTTGCTTGGCGGCTGCGATGTCTCTCCCCACTCCTTCTCCCCATCCCCTCTGCTCGGAGGCCTCCAGGCGGCTCACGGCCTGCGTTTCGCCCTCAGGAGGAGCTGAGCCGAAGGCGGCGGCCGCGGGCTGCGAGCGGCTGCAGGGCCCTGCCAGCCCCGCCGGCCAGGAGACCACCGAGGGCAGCCTCAGCGACTCGGATTTTAAGGAGCCGCCCTCCGAGGGCCGCCTGGACGCGCTGCCCGGGCCCCCGCGCCCCAGCGGGCCCTCCGCCGAGGACCAGGGTCCCCACTATCCTCCGGGCGCCCCGGCCGCAGGCGCGCACCCAGCCGCCGGGGAACTGCCGCCCGGGCCCTCGGTCATCCACTCCCCGCCGCCGCCCCCGCCGCCCCAGGCGGTGCTCGCCAAGCCCAAACTGTGGTCCCTGGCAGAGATCGCGACCTCCTCGGACAAGGTCAAGGACGGGGGCGGCGGCGGGGGCGAGAGCTCTCCGTGCCCACCGTGCGCCGGGCCCATCGCCGCCGCCAGCCGCGCCTCGCCGGCCCCGGCGCCCCCGGCGCGCTCGCCCTCGGCGGCGCAGTGCCCCTTCCCGGGCGGGACGGTGCTGTCCCGGCCCCTGTACTACACGGCGGCGCCCTTCTACCCCGGCTACACGAACTATGGCTCCTTCGGACACCTCCACCACCACGGCCATCACCCCGGGCCCGGGCCAGGCCCCGCGACCACCACCGGCCCGGGCTCGCCTTTCAATGGATTAAACCAGGCGGTGTTGAATCGGGCGGACGCTTTGGCTAAAGATCCGAAAATATTGCTGCGGAGCCAGTCCCAGCTAGACCTGAGCAAAGACTCTCCCTATGAACTGAAGAAAGGTATGTCCGACATTTAGCGCGGGCTGCGTCGGTCCCTTCCCGGACTTTCCTAATTTATTTAAAAACAAAACAAAACAACAAAACAAAACAGAAACAAAACATGGCCTTGGCAGTTATTTTTCCATCCGCAAGAGAGAGAAAACGACCCCCTCCTATTAAAAAGTTTATAGTTCATGGAGATGGATGACATAAAAATGTAAACATCTCCACACACACACACACACACACACACACACACACACAGGTCTTAACCCACCGAAAAGAAAAGTTAAAGGGTTTGTATTAAATCGTATTCTGTATATTTAATGTAGCATTTTGTATTTAAATGGATAATTCAATATCTTTGAAGTAAATTATGAAATTCAGACACCTCTACAGGCATCTAATGTTTTTTTTGTAATATAAGTATATATACATTTGTGTCCCTCCCCCCTCCAAAAAAAATAACCTGTTTCATAGTTTAAAAAGACAAGTTTAATTTAATTTTTTTACACCTATTGATTTTTTCTTCTGGGTATGAGCTAAAGTATTATTACAGAAAGGAATCAGGTTATACGCTTAGATTTAAAAAAGTAAAAGGAACCGCAGCCGCCTTTGTAAAATGCAAAGTATTTAATTAAAAGAGATTTTACCATAATCTGAGCCTCGGTTGCTTTTTAGAAGCCTTGACACGCTGTCCATCCACCTTGGACTCCAAGGTGCAAACTGCAACTTTTTTTTTCTTTCCAAGTGGGGAGGGAAAGGTTCCTTCATCTGGGGCTGCAAGCCCTGGAGAGCATGGCCCCGCCCAAGGCAGGTTTGGGGGAGATCTGAAGCTGGAGGAAGGAGGATAGAGACCCAAGTGTATGCCCAGAAGGGAGAGAGGATGGCAACCTCAGCTGGAGGCAAGCACCAGCCAGAGCTCCCTGGCTTAACCTGATTACTTCCAATCAGTGTCGTGTTTTATGCAAAGCAATCAGCTGGTGAACTTTGCTAATGAGTTCGATTTTATGCCGGATTTAGCCCTTATTACTATTTCAAAGGTGCTGCGGGCTACTGCGGGCGGGGAGCGTTAGGGGGTGCCAAGGAGAAGGCCTGCCCATGTCCCTTGTCTGCGTTCCCCCCTTCCAAATTGGCCATTGGTCTCTTCTTTGGGTTTGATCAAATTAGTCAGCGTCCTAGTGTGGATGGTATGGAGGGTAGGTGGTGGGGGATGATCCCCCGGTGCAGTCTCGGGGGGGCTGGGGCCGCGGGGCCGGCCAGGGGACGGTTCCCCCCTCTCACAGGTAGGTGTCACACTTGTCCTGAATTTCAAGCCTGCCCTTTGCAGGAGGGATTGGAGAGTGGGCAGAAGTGGGGGGAGGGGGCGCCACAGGGGCTTGCGGGAGGAGAGGGGGGACCGTAAAGGATCCAGAGAAGCCCTCGCCGCCCCCGCCCTCACCCCTGCCGTGGGGCCGCCCCCGCTCCCCCCCCCCCCCCCGTTTTGTGCAAGTGGCCTTCCCAGTTGGAGGGAACGCGCCTCCTCCATTAGGATTGCCTCCGCCCGGCTTGTTGTCATCGCTTTAGCACGTTTCTATCTGGGGTTCAAGAGTTCCCACAGCTCTGGGAGTATTTTCTGAGGTTGTGACAGTCTCTTCTTCATCCCGCATCTCCCCCCGCAGCGTGGGAAAGGTCGGGATGCGACGCGATCCCCCAACAGAAAGGAGACGCGGCCCCGTGGTCGGTGCTCGCGTCTCCATTTCGCGCGCGGACGTGCGCAACCGCGGACGTGTTTCGCTTCGTGGGAAATTCTCAGCGATCGGGGGGGAGGGGAGGGTTTGCTGGAAGGAGAAACAAAACAAAACAAAACAAAACAAAACAACACACACCTCCAGCGAGGAGAATGAACGTGCTCTCTGAAACTCCTGCCCGAGTGTAGACAGAATGTGTGTGCACATAACACCGGCTTAATTAGGTTACGTCAGGGGTGCGCTGGTTTGCATTGCTGGCTTTTCTCATCTCGACTCGCTTTTTGAAACACACCCCCCCCGCCCCCCACTTTCATCGGAGTTTTGATTCGTGCTGGGGATTTTTTTTTTTTTTTTTTTTTTGGTTTGGTTTGGTGGTGGTTGTTGAAGCAGCCACGGAGCTCCTTTAGCTCTTCCTAACTTAAAAGAGTTTGAAAGCTTTCTCCAAATGTGTTTCTCCCCTACCTCCCCCGTCCCCCCCTCCCCCCCACTCCCCTGGAACAGCGGTCGGCTTCAGATTTTAAATGAGTGAGAAAATTCACGCAGGGAAAAAAAATGGTTTCAAAGCTGGGAGTGTGCGCGATTAAATATGCATGAGGCGATCGTATTTTATTTTGTCCCTTTAATTATAAATGATTTTTTTTAAACAATTGAATTCCAGAGATGACTTGCCCTCCTCCTCCTCCTCCTCCTCCCCCCTGCCCCCGCCCTCGTGCCCGGGCCCCCTCCCCCCGCTGCCCCCTGCTGCCCGGCTCACAATCCGCTTTCTCGCCCTGTTGATTATGCATCCCCAGGAGTCACCTTGTGTTTTTCTCAAAAAGTCAGAAGAATAGGCCGGTCCTCCTCTCTTGGGAGAGAGAGAGGGAGTTTCAGGACGACCTCGGTTCTGCCCGGTTTGGGAAGCCCTGGCCCCACAGACACCCCCGGCCCGACAGACACCCGGACTGGTGATTTTTGTTTTTTATTTTTTAGAGAAAATTACAGGCCTCCTGTGTTCCCAGGGATATGGAAATGGCATGGCGCGGGGCCTTCCCAAGCCTGGTTGCAGGGGTTGGGGGGGGGGATGCGGGGCCAACACCCGCAGGTCTGCCTAGGGACAGGAGCCGCACCCTGGGGATCCCCTCGGCGCTTCTCCTCGACGGGGTGGCGCTCGGGGACCCCGCGGCTGGGGAACAGAACTAAAGGGGAGCTGGAAGGCTGGTGCCCGCGTCTCCGCTGCTCCCCGCATCCCCCCGCCCCGGCCTCTGCCTCTGCGGGGTCTGCGGTTTTCTTTGCGTCACTTCGTCTCCTATGAAGTTGACGGGTTTCTCCTTCGCGGAGCCGGGTTTTCGGTGGCCAGTGGCGGTGTCGCGGATGTCTGGGGTCCTCGCCGTTTGGGGGCGGCCTGCCGGGCAGATGGAGGTGTGGGCATGGAGAAAGCGCCTCGGGCGCTGAACCCAGAAGGAGTTGCTTGTCTGCGGGGCCCTCCGGCCTAGCGCAAGGCAATGCGCCTTGGAGGAGAGGGAGGAAAACCGCCGGCGGTGCCAGCCTGGCCTGGGGTGGGTTCCCGGGCCTGGGATGGGGTGAGTCCTGGGGCCTGGCCTGGCCTGGGGTGAGTTCCAGGAAGTGGAGCGAGACAGCGGCTGGGACACCTCCGTGCTGGGGCTTGGAACGCCTTTGCCACCTGCGCTCGGCTGCACTGGCACCAGCCCTCCAAGGCGAGCCGAGGTTGGCACTTAGGAACCAGGAGGCCCTGGATCCCTGGCAATTGAAACCATGGGGGGATCACCGAGTTGGTTCTATGCAGTCCATCCCCCACCCCCCAGAGGCAGAGCCCCACGGGGGACCGGGTGGGTTCCTTCCTTCACCCTCGGTGCCAGGAGGAATCCGTTCCTGGGACTTGGCGATGAGGACGCCTAACAGGGCATTGAGGAGAGGCCGTGGAGGGGGCCTTTCCCTCCCCAGCTCCTTGCTCGCCTCGCAGGGCCAGGGCCTGACACGCTCCCTGGGCTGGGTGCGGGGCCTGCATGGAGGCCTCCTAGTTTGCAAAGCGCTAGGGCCGCTCATTCCCGGCGAAGTGTGTGACTCTCGGGGCGCGGGAGGTGGGAGTGGGCAGGGGGGGGTCGTCCTGCGTGCAATTTCAATGCGGGCTGTGTCTTTCGGCTCCCCTTTCTCCCTCCACCCACCCCCACGCCCCTGCAAAGAGCTGCCAGCTGGGCAGAAGCCGGGAAGGGCGCTCCGCGAGGCGCCCAAAGTGAAAGGAACGTGATTGCGCTCCGCTCCGGGGAGACAGCCGGGCGCGGCTGCCGCTGAGAAAGGGCGCCGCCTGCCGGCCCCTCGGCGCCGCGCGGCCGACAGAGGAGGAACCCTGCGAGGCCGGCCGGCCGGGCACCCCCACCCGCAGCTGGGCCTGAGCTCGGAACCCCGAGCGGGTCCAACGCGAACCGCTCCACCACCTCCTTCGCTTCTGCCCGGGGCCCGGGACCCGCTTACACATCGGAGAGCATTTGAATCCTGCAGATGGCCACCGCGACTCAGGCACCGCCTGCACAAACAGGCGGGAAGCTACTGAGAAACAGGCCCCGAGGGTGGGGGGCTAGGGCTGTGCGCATCCTTGCCAGTCGGGGTCCCAGGGGGCTCCCACGCCCCTTGGGGTGCCTGCACTGGAGTGTCTGCTGGCCCGGGCTCTGGGGGAGCCCCGCACAGTTTGGTCTCCTGCGCGGTTCAGCATAGCTGAGGTCTGCCTTGCAACCTGGCCCCCAAGGCCGAGACCGGTTCTGACTTTTGGACTGTGGGTTGGCCATCTGTAGGAAAAACCAAACCAAAACAAAACAAAAAGCAAACAAACAAAAAAATTCCCTCCAATGCTTCAACCCCTCCTGTTTCAAAAGAACCTTTAAGGAGGCGAGGTAGGAGGTACTTATGTGGGGGTCCCGGACCTAGGGCCCTTCCCAAAGCGCAATAGGGTAGAACCAACTGCCCCCCCCCATCCCTTCAGGGATATTGTGGGGAAAGGCGAGCGCGCCTTCTGCTGGTCTCTTCCCATCCCTCACCACTGGGCCACCGGCCACCAAACAGGAGGAAACGCGGGCCTGACCAGCATCTGGCCGCCCGGACTGGGCTAAATCCCCGCGGGACTGCCCGGAGCCCCACCCCGCGGGTCCCCCTCGGTGACCCGGCTGGAGCGGGGCTCCTTTCCTTGGAGCGCTCAGTGCGAGTTGGGTCGCAGCACATGGTGTGGCCCAGGTTGTGGATAACGGGGGGGGGGGGGGGTGTTGATGGCTCTGGCTGCACCCCTTGCTCTGGCCTGCCCCTGGGGGGGGGGGGCTGTAGGGGGGTCTCTGGCCTCCCGTGGACCGCAGGCCCCAGCCCCAGCCCCCACCCCCCACCCCCCAGGCCGCCGGCCAGGCCGCGCTCGTTGTCAGCGCCCGGTGCCTGCGGCCCGCCCCGGCGCGGCCCTGAAGGCCACGTTTCCCGGGGAAACCAGGTTCTCTTTGCTCCAAGCAAACCCAGGGCCTCCAGCGCCTCCGCCTGATGGACGCAGATGTAAATGCGCATTTATTTAATTGGATCAGACCCCCAGATGAAAGAGATAAACGGCTCCCCGTTTGGTTTGCGGACTTTTCTCTTCGGAGGCGCGCGGCGCCGGTGGAGCGGAGGGCGGGCGGGCGGCCAACGACGGCGCGG